CCAAGTTGCGAGTACATGGTTGACTTGCAACTTGGGTGATTACAAAAACTACATGCCTCGAGTTGCAAGTCGGGGGAGGACTTGCAACTGGGGATGAAAACAAAACAACGCCTCCCGAGTTGCGAGTCGAGGGTGGACTTATAACTGGGACGACAAAAACCCTAGTTGTAGATCGAGGGTCTAATTGCAACTACCATGAAACAAGAAAAAAAAATTGGTGAGTAAAACATTTTTAGGATTCTCTTATGATATTTTTCTTGCGTGCATGGGAAATAAAAGAAAACTACCACTCTCTCAACCCACTCATGGGTGTTTTTTCTTTTAAAAAAACAACCCATTACCTCTGTACGGTCAATTCCTGACAAAATAACAGAGAAATAAAAGTGAGTGGGAATGGGCAAAGCCCAAGCAACACAAATCGTACACGGCTCATGTGGAAACTGCACTGAAAGAAAATTAAATACAACAGGCTGACACACTGACAGGCCCGACAACAATCAAAATGGGCCGAGGAAGCACGATAGAGAAACAACAGGATGATACGCCGGCGCGACCGACAAAAACGAGGCACAATTAGGTTTGCATGAAAATTAAAAACAAACAAATCTAATAATTATGAACTTAGATGTGAGATAGCTATTTCACATCTAGATGTGCTAGATGTGAGATAACTATTTCACATCTAGATGTGAAATAGCAAATCTGTTTTTTTAATCTTCCGAACTTTTTTTTTTTGAGAGATCATTTACCGAACTTTCATGGTAGTGTGAAAAGCCTCCAATAAGAGATGCCACGAGCTGTGACACGGCAGTGCAGGATTTACATCCGGCACCAACAAAGATATCTACACGGAAGAATCGACGCATATCCAATCACAACGCTACTCACAGAAAAGGAGAAGAAAAATAGATCGTGCCGTGGTACTACACACGCATCCAATTTACGTACTTGTGTACTTGGACACGATCGATCATGCGTACTCCTCGTCGTCTTCCACCTCTTCCCGGACGACGTCGTTGCCCTCGTCCCGGTCGGCGTTGGCCTTCTGGCACTCGTCGATCCACTCGGCGTAGACGTCGACGGGCTCGGTGAGGGCGTGGGCCGTGGTGGAGTAGCTCTCGGAGCACGTGCTACACGAGGCCTCGGCCACCATGTGCTTGAGGTCGATCTTGCAGTCGATGCTGTCGGGGTGGTTGCAGAAGGGGCAGCAGAAGGACGTGTCCAGCTTCTCCGCCTTCTTCCGCGGCGCCGTCTTCGCGCGCGTCAACTTCCGCTTCCCCATCTAGTCGATCTATCTGGTGGTGCTTGCAACGGCGACGTCGACGGCGGGGAGAGTAGAGGCGGAGCTGGAGCTAGGCGAGAGGATGATGCACCGGGCAGAGCGCGCCGCCGCGTCCTGGGAGTAAGCTTTATATTGGTGTGGCCAGAGGCAGAGGGGTTAACCGTGTCGTGGTCGACTTGTTTCTTTCTTGTTCCGCGAGTCCCGGTGGTTGTACAATACAGCGATCTTTTTTTTAGACAACCCTGCGAAACTTTTATTCATCCGTCACAAGGTTTACATGGACGAAGGGAATACCCTCGGGCTGGCCTAACCAAACATGGCGACCAGACCCGAGACCCAACGCATATTTCGCAAGGTTGTGAGCATCAAAGTTTGAGCTCCTAATCTCATGAAGTATCTTACAAGAAATAAAAGACAATGCATGCAACTTAATCTCTTGTATAACTGCACCATAGATTGATGCACCACCGCTGGAAATCTCCTCCACTGCTTCCCTGCAGTCCGAAGCCATGTGAATTCTCTGGAGGTATAGATCATCAGTAAGGGAGAGGGCCTCTCTGATGGCTAAGGCTTCAAGCGTAGCTGGGTCTCCAATTGTCCTGTATATGACCGCCGACACACCTTCAAATGTTCCCTCTCCATCTCGGTTGATTGCTGCAACTGCACCAAAACATCCCCGGCCCCCAACTGTTGCATCCGTGTTTATCTTGGCATGATTCTCCAGGAAGCAGCAACCACCGCCGTGGCCTCGTTGTAGTTGCATTAGCCACTGCGACTTTCTGGGGATAGATCATATCGATCTCCGACAAGTAGGATCTTATGAAGTCAACGATGGACTGAGGACTACGGAATACTCCTTCATGTATTGCTTTTCTTCTAGCTCCCCAGATTGCCCAAAGAGTGACCACCAACCTGATAAAATCATCGGCATTGAGGCTCTCTTGAAGGGCAAATAACCATCTTTTCGCACTGTCGTGTTGAACGATGCAGAGATGATCCAACACTACTTCCGAACAGGGGTGGGCCCAGGATTTGAAGAGTGTGTATTCAAAATTTCAAATGTTCCCTCTCCATCTCGGCAGATTGCTGCAACTGCACCAAAACGTCCCCGGCCCCCAACTGCTGCATCCGTGTTTATCTTGGCATGATTCTCCACAGGCGGCAATTGTTGGAAGGGAGAGAGGGATTTGGTGGAATAGTTCATTTATTGCTTGAGCCTCGTGGTCATATATATAGAAGTACAATCATCTACTTGGAGTACAAGACAAGTAAGAACAAATCCTAGTCTATCTCATCTTTTCTAATAAACATTATACTCAACATCCCCCGCAGTCACAACGGTAGCGACGCAGGCGGTGAGACTGGAGAAGAATCCGAAAGCAAGCCGACGGACACCCCCCCACAGTCGTAACGGTCGACGCATCGCGGAGTCGTGGCTGGAGTGGCAACCGACGAGGTTGCTCAAGCAAGGCGGTAGCCCTTTGTGCCGTTTGTCAAGGTAACCGAGAGCGTGTGTGGTGGAGCCGTGGTCGAGGTAGCCGTGCGAAGAATGCTGTGGTCGATGTCGAGTTGGGGTAGCCTGTGTCGAGGAAGTCGCCGTGGAGCCGCGAGCGCAAGGATGCGCCGAGTTAGTCGTGGGCGCAGTGGTATTGAAGTAGTGGCGCGCCAGGACGGAGATGATGTTGACGACGCGCCGCGCCGGGGTTGCCAGCCCTGGGGACACATCGTAGAAGAAGGCACGCGTCGGTGTTGCCAGCACCGGGCATGCGTAGACGGACGAAGACGAAGTTGATGAAGCGCCGCGCCAGGCTTGCCAGGCCCATGGACACGTCATGGACAAAGGCACGCGGCGGTGTTGCCAGCACAGGGCATGCGTAGACTGGGACCTGCACAAGCTGTACGCCATGTCGAAGAAGTCGGAGAGGCCAGCAGAGAAGCCCTCGACGACGGTTGCGGCGCCAATCGGCGCGGGGCAAATGTCACACGCGGTTGTCGGAGTAGATGAAGCGGTCAGCGTAGATGACGGCAACGCTGGCGACGGGCTGGTGCTGGATGAAGACGAACGGGGTGGACGGGCGGAGGCGGCGGCTATGGGGGTAGCGGCGGCGGCGGCTGAAGAAGAACGGCGGCGTCGGCCTGACGGCGGCGGCGGCGGCTAGGTTATGAGCGCGGTGGCGATGCTCGAAGTAGGTGAAGAACCCTAACAGCGTGACGAAGACCGGCGCGGATTGTGGCGTTCCCGCACCAAAGGAGGTAGTGCGGCGCATGCCACGGGAAGTCGACGCGCGGGGACGGCGGTGGACCGTGGGCCGCGGCGCTACGGCCCGAAGGGGCGACGCAGCGCCGGCGGGCAGGTCGGGGCGACGACGGAAGACCTCGGGACGGTCGCAGGGACCGCGGGCCGCGGCGCTATAGCCCGAAGGGGCGGCGCAGCGGCGGAGCTTGGGGTGGTACAACCGCGTGGACGGCCTCGAGACGGCCGCGTGCCACTCTCGCTACGGCCCGACCGGGCGACGCAGCGGCGGCGCGAGGGTCGGTGCAGCCACGGGGACGGCCTGAAGCGAACGGCCTCGGGGCGGCGATAGACCACGGGCCACGACACTTTGGCTCGAAGGGGCGACGCAACGGTGACGCGGGTCGATGCAGCCAGGAGAAGAACCACGGGGCGGCGGCGCTGCGACCCGACGGGGCGACGCAGCGGCAGCCCGTTGCTCGATTGGCGGAGGGGCGCGCTGAACTCGGAGACGATCTTCACGGGACCTGCGGAGGCGCGCGTAACTGACGGGCCAGGTCGGTCGCGTGGCGTAGATAAGGCGGATCGCGGCGGCGAGCAGGTGATCAAGCCGATCGCGCGCGAGGTCGGGGACACCGCTTGGTGGAGGCGCAGTGGCGGCGGAGTCCGAGATGAAGTCGGCGACGGCGGGCGGCAGGGCGGCTATGATTGGCCGCCGCATGGCGCGAGCCCACCTGGTCAGGGTGATGCAGGAGTCCCGGTCGGAGCGGGACGGTGACGGCTGGCATAGATCGACGGGCGGGCCGGCGCGCGAACGGCGACAGTGAAGGGCCGCCGCATGACGCGAGGCCGCCGGGGCAGGGCGACCGGCGGGTAGACGCACGAACGACGCGCGAGGCAGCCAGGTCGGGGCGACCGGCGGGCAGACGCGCGGACGAGGCGCGAGGCCGCCGGGTCGGTGAAGGAGCCGGCTGGTCGCGCCGGTGTCGAAGTAGAGGCGCGGGGTGTCGATGACGGCGGTGGGCGACGCAAACCGATCCAGTGGATCGGAAAATCAAAGAGTAGACGCGGATCAAAGCGACCGACGAAAGAGAGAAAAACCCGGATCAAAGGATCGGGAAAAAGACTCTCTAGGGCAGCCGGCGAACACGGCCGGCGAACGAACCCTAGGTACGGGCGGTGCGGCCCCCGACAGCGGTCATGGAGACCGACCGCCCCAGGGGCGGCGCGCGGGTGCGGAAGCGGCGACGGCTAGGGTTTAGAACCCAGAAACTGTACCATGTTGGAAGGGAAAGAGGGATTTGGTGGAACAGTTCATTTATTGCTTGAGCCTCGTGGTCATATATATAGAAGTACAATCATCTACTTGGAGTACAAGACAAGTAAGAACAAATCCTAGTCTATCTCGTCTTTTCTAATAAACATTATACTCAACAGCAACCACCGCCGTGGCTTCGTTGTAGTTGCATTGGCCACTGCGACTTTCTGGGGATAGATCATGTTGATCTCCGACAAGTAGGATCTTATGAAGTCATCGATGGACTGAGGACTACGGAATACTCCTTCGTGTATTGTTTTTCTTCTAGCTCCCCAGATTGCCCAAAAAGTGACCACCAACCTGATAAAATCATCGGCATTGAGGCTCTCTTGAAGGGCAAATAACCATCTTTTCGCACTGTCGTGTTGAACGATGCAGAGATGATCCAACACTACTTTCGAATAGGGGGCGGGCCCAGGATTTGAAGAGTGTGTATTCAAAATTTTAAAGTCAATTTTCCCAAGTTTAAAGCCTTGTTTTTGCCATGTATAACCAAATATATCACCATAATTCATGTGGAAAATTCAATTTCTCATGCCTAAACAATTTATAATTCATTGCAAAGAAATTACAAATTTAAATATACTAACAAGAAAGCCAAGGCAAATTAACTTACTGTTGTATGCATATATTACTGTTGGTGTTGACGAGGCTTGCCCAGCCGCCTACTGGGCAATACAAAACGAAGGTTATGCCTCGACACTTGTAACAATTACTCTACAAGTCCTGTGTGTATACCTAGGTTGCCAATTTTATCACCTTAATATAAACTATACAACACAAAATTTATATCTTTTGAAAGTAGAAACTCTGAAGTTTATGTTGGTATATTTTTTGTAATATATGACTTGTATTAGGTTGGTCAAATTGACGACCTAGAGGTACGTGCATGCCCTGTAAACTGAGAGAGAGGTAGTAGCTAATATGATGGCCTGCCCGCCTGCCCGTGCCGGCGTGCGCGCGTGCGATCAGGGGATGGCGATGAGCCCAGCACCCCCCTACCGCTTTGAGTGCGAAAGGGATTTGAGGCGTTGGTTTCTTATATGCGATATGTTTTTTTTTTTTTACCAAAGTGCTATGCTATCGATGGATCTGTGGCTCGTGCGTGCAGGCCCTGCAAACTGCAGCGATTTGGGCCACTTGGGCCATGTCGGGGTCCTGTATCTTTTTAGTTTTTCCTCATACATACGCATGGTACACATTATATATACATGGTTTCTTGGCAAAAATAATGGGTATTCAACTGAATACCCTTGAATTGAACTGGGCCCGCCCCTGCTTCCGAAGACAGCGCCCAAGTACAGCGAGACATCGGACACTCGAGTAACGCATGCTTCCATGTATCCTGACACTAGTATAAAAACACCTAATAGTCCCGGTTTGTAAGGGCCTTTAGTCCCGGTTCATGAACTGGGACTAATGGGTCGTTACTAATACCTCCACCCATTA